TCCAACACAACAACAGACAACACAACAACATCCAACACAACAACATCCAACACAACAACAGACAACACAACAACATCCAATACAACAACAGACAACACAACAACAGACAACACAACAACAGACAACACAACAACAGACAACATAGCAATAGACAACATAACAGCAGACAACACAGCAACAGACAACATAACAGCAGACAACACAACAACAAACAACACAACAACATGCAACACAGCAACAGACAACATAGCAACAGACAACATAACAACAGACAACATAGCAACAGACAACATAACAAAATGCAACACAACAACAGACAACACAACAACAGACAACACAGCAGCAGACTATACAAAAGATACCAAGTCCATGCCAGCAGCAGGGGAGACGTGTGCCAGGTACATGCTCCCAGAGTCGGAGGGAGGAGGGAGGCGGAGCAGCATCCCCGCCGGAAAGGACGAGGAGGATGATGAGGAGCGGGTCGGCGGCGCGCCACGAGGGGGCGCCACCGAGGGCGGCAACGGGAACAGGTGCAAGAAGGGCAGGTACGAGGCGAGCGCTCAGCGGTCACATGACAGCGATGACATCACAGACGACAACGGCGACGACGATCGGAGAACTGACGTTCGCGTTACGCCGTCCTGCCACACCGCCCCGGCGACCTTGCAGAACGGCGACGGCGGCGCCCCCTGCAGGAGTGCGGAGGTTCCGTCTTCCGAGCTGGTGGCGCCACCTATCGACGCGATCCCCGCCTCTTTCTTCCTCGGCGATTCCGATAGTTCCTCGCAGACTTCCTACGATGTGATAACGGAGGAGGAGGAGACTGAAGATGGCAGCACCGTAGACCGCAGAAACAAGAGGGCAGATGATGGCGTAGGCGGTGGCAGCAGGCTGTCTGATTTGCTTGATTTGCTGAAAAGCGACGAATGCAAGGGATATGACGATCTGTGTGTCGGTACGTATACATAGCAGTCACGCTGCTATACATGTCTAGTCAAACATTCACAATGTACCGCGATTCTTGGCCCATGTTTAAGCCCATTAACAAACAATCCCCTATAAAAACATGATGAATGAACATCTGTGTACATGCAGTTGTACAATCCCATGTGATCGTGATCGCATCGCATCACAGGTGGATAGTTGTGTTAATGAGAAACGGACATCACAGAAACATGGAAATGTCACAAATAAAGCGATAGATCTGCAACATAAAAATTCTTCCATTTTTTCAGGAGGTATGCTATGAAACTTCCTGTAAAAGATCCTAGTACCCTTAAAAGACATGTGTCTATGTGTATCTAGATTTCTAGAAATGTAACTCAAATCGTTCGCGCCATATGATAATTTAATTGTACACTTTCTTACGGCCATAGCCGTGCGTATCCATTTGGAAACAACATGTCGTCCAGCGACCACGTGACCGATTTTTTCCGACTTGTCATGGCGCAACTCTCTGTATATAGGGACCCTAAGCTACAGTATGCGTCAGTTGAGCGCTGTCGCTCTGCGGCACTTGTTAATATTATGATTATTACTATTATTATTGTTATTATGTCTGTAGCATTGGAAATGATAATCCAGTACAGATACATTAGAGCCTGGTGCGATGTATCAGTGTACCAGCCTTAATCAAACCTTGTGTAAAATGAAATCTCATCTCGTAAAATCTTTAAAAAATGTCTCGAATATAAAAACTTTACTTCAGGTTCCTCCCAGACTATAAAATTAGGTGTCGGTGTCCACATGCTACAGGTCTATATCTCATCTTATAAAATATTTAAAAAAACCTCGGAGAAAAACTCCCGAGTGCGAGTCATTTTGCTAACATCGGCGTTTCCTTCTCTTCACTGCTGCAGGTTCCTCCCAGACTATAAAATTAGGTGTCGGTGTCCACATGCTACAGGTCTATATCTCATCTTATAAAATATTTAAAAAAACCTCGGAGAAAAACTCCCGAGTGCGAGTCATTTTGCTAACATCGGCGTTTCCTTCTCTTCACTGCTGCAGGTTCCTCCCAGACTATAAAATTATATCTCATCTTATAAAATATTTAAAAAAACCTCGGAGAA